GAGGGGGGTGGGGGGTGGGGGGAGGGTGACAAGAGTGATGTGCTGGTAAATGCTTAATAACCAGCTCTCAGGGGAGAGGGGGTAAAAAACCCTTACTTGTAGCTTTTGCCAACTTCCGTAGCATGAATGCTCCCACAGTGGCCAATTTCAAGCCGTCTGTGTGATATTACTAAGCGTGGAGTTGGGAAGAGATGAACACAGTCGGCTCTCACAATCAGCCAGAGCGCGCCAGCTCCAGCACTCCACTGAGGAGCTAATCTGCCCCTTAGCCTTGGCCTATGCCGTTCCCTCTATGTGGCATACCCTTCCTGCTTTTCCTTGGTAAACTCCCCCTGATCCTTCGAGGCCCAGTTCTAGCATCTCCTTTCCAGTAAAGCCTGCATCACATTTTCCACCTCCCACTAGGCCCTCAGCATCTGGCATCTCTTTCCACTGTGCCCCACGGGCATCTGTCCAGGCCTGTGATGGCACAAGCCTGTTCTTTGAGCTGGACATAGAGGCACAGACGGGACAGGATGGGGGCTCCTTGAGGGCAGGGCCTCGGTGCCAGTCATCTTGAGCTACTCCGCTGAGCGCAGGCCGAGTTGGGCATCTGTCCAGGCCTGTGATGGTACAAGCCTGCTCTTTGAGCTGGACATAGAGGCACAGACCGGACAGGATGGGGGCTCCTTGAGGCAGGGCCTCGGTGACAGTCATCTTGAGCTACTCCGCTGAGCGCAGGCCGAGTGCTGGATGGATGAAGGAGCGCAGTGGGAGGCCCGCAGGGCTGTGGCGGTATGGCGGATGCAGACTGTGTGAGCTTGTTTCAGCAGCAGGGTGGTGAGAGCGCTGTCCCTCACCCCAGACCTGGGCTGGGTGGGAGAGTCCATCCCAAGCCCGTAAGGTCAGAAGTCGTCTGGACCCAAGGCCGGGTGTCTGGGTGTTGGTGCCCCTTTGGCACAGGGATCTCTTTATTCTGCTGATCTCAGACCACAGCTAATTATCCTAATGGGTTTAAATGGCCCTAAATGTTCTCAGAGTTTGGACAGGACCCATCTGGAGCCCGCAGGTGGGCTGGCCTGGCTGACAGTGAGCGGGCAGACTCTGGCATGGTTGCTATAGGAATCCAAAGTGGCCATGCTTGTCGTTTCTAGAGGCCTGAGACCTGCGTGGGGAAGGGTGGGCTAGGAGCCGAGGGTCAGCATAATGAGAGCTAGTATTCCTCTAGCTCTTTCATGCCTGGCACTGCTCTCGGCATTTACTTTATTAACTCACTGGGTCCTCACAACCATCCTAGGAGGTAGAAGCCATTACTATGCCCATTTTGCAGAGGAAGAAACTGAGGCAGGGAGGTAAAATGACTTCCCCAAAGTCTCATGGCCAATAAGCAGAGGGGCTTCTGTTCATGCTGGTAGGTTCTAGAGCCCCTGCCCCCCTTCGTCACACATAATGTCACTTCTCCACATAATGTCACTTCTCCACATAATGTCACTTCTCCAGGTGGGCGGGCCACTGAGATATCTTTGTGCCCTCACCTGGGGCCACACCTATAGCCCTAGCAAGGCAGCTCCAGCCTGGACCTCCTCGAGCTGCACTGGGCTGACCTTGTTCCGAGGGAGCCCCACCCCGACCCACGCCAGGGCCCAGAGGTACGTTACCAGAGTGGTGAATATGAAGTGGTAGTATTCGGTCATCATGCCCATGGCCATGGCCTGCGGGGAAGCAGAGCGTCAGCACCTGCAGGAACACCCGAGCAGCCCCCCCACCCCCCGCCACCCCAGGGGTGAGGACTGGGCAGGGGACAGCCGGGCCGTGGCCTGGGGGTGGTTGGCCACCAGAGTGATATTCCCCGAGACCCCTCCACGCCGTCAGCATGACCGGCTGTCAGACAGCGGTGGATTTCACCCGGGAGTGAGCAGCAAAGCCACCCGGGACAGATTAAGATGCACGCTCTCGGGCCACACTCTCTAAAGATTCCAGATTCCGCAGGCGGGGCAGGGCCTGGTGGTCTGTCTTTGTGGGAAGCATCTCTGGGCCTCCACACGATCCAAGACACCTTTTCAAGTGCCCTGACTGCCCTCGGCTGAGGCCAGCACCACAACTCTGGAGAGAGGTGTCCAGGTGCCCAGCCGCCAGCAGCCCCGCCGGTCCCGGAGGAG